GCAAAGATTCAATTAACGAATTTTGCAAAAAGAACGATTGAATAAGAAGATGAACGATTCATAAAAGTTCATGAAAACAAATGTATCAACACTACGGCAATTATCCGAAGGTCAAATAATTTTTACACTAGATTTCGTGTACTCATAAGTAGTCTAAGATTCTTAGTGCAATTTTCAACCAATGTAGTTTGTTCGTAGTTGACTTGTTGATGAAAGCATAATATGAATATCGACTTCAGGGACTCTTATACAGTACCTATAGGATATAGGACCAAAGTTACTTCCTGCTGCTGAGATTTACTGAAAATAGTGAGTTTTCCTTGAAATAACAGAGCTTGTATCGGTGCAAAACCCTTCTAAATAAAACTCCATAATCATTAGTCAAAGGTAATCCACTGACGGCTTCTTAAAAAGATTATTTCTGTTCTTTTAGTCGCTTTTTGCACTGTGGTTTTCCCATGAGACCCTAAGTCACGTGAATTCAAATCTATGGGAGTTTAGTCATAGGTTGTGGTGGTTCTACAGAGAAGGCGTGAAGTGTGAAAAATTTGAAGTTATCCGAACTAAGGTGGGATTTGAAGGTTTTAAAATTCTGGTCATTGGGTAAATGATATTCGTTATTTTGATATTTGTATTTTCTAAAGTATGTGAAACCAGGTAACTTTGTCTTAACTGACGTTTCGCTATTTACTATAAGTTTAATAAAGCTACTAGCGTTGAGTAGCAAAACATCAATTAAAAGAAATTTATTTTGTTCTAGATTCCTTGGGGAATACCAATACCAATATGGTCAATGAACACTCTAAGTTGATTAAAAAATCACTAACAGTTCTAACACAATAAAGTAGTATGATAATTATAACAATTTACTCAGATTTCAAGCAAACGAGAATTGTATTCTGAGAAGATTAACTTCTACTTTCTTTGGAATATAGTCATTCAAAAGACTAGGATATGTATGGTGATAATTCTGACACAGACTGGCATAATCGTCTTGATTGTTGAACTCTAGGCGTTACTAAATAATGACTGAGTGAACGAAACTTCTTAAGGATTCTGAATTGTTGGATTAGGGGAATTTTTGTTCACATGATATAGTGTTCATAGACTACTGAGATGTGCTTTCATTAGTGTCCTACGAGAGTACTATTTATCCATATTAATGATATTCATTGTCTTTTGATCACGTTGATTTTTATCAAGTGATCTCTGTTGTTGTATTGGCTGTGTTAAAGATGACACTATTTGTTGTCGGTGATTTAGTCGTAGACGTCTGTATTTTCCTGAGGCGTTTTTGATGGTACTATTTTGCCTCAACTGATAGATCAGAATCATCTTCACAAATCATTTCTATCACGTAGAATGTATCATCATCATCGTTAGGGCTATTTGAATATACTGAAAGCGTATTTTAGGTGTAGTTCGATTGTTTTAGTGAGATGAGTGAGTGAATTTTAACTCCATTTTAGGCAGATATGAGCAATAAATGCAAATATAACGAAGTAAAATAAAAAGCAGGAGGCTTTGTAAGCATAAAAGAATAAGTAACGATTTATATTTTCCAAATCTTACGTCAATCACAAATGACAGTGGGTAATTTAAAGGGTACACGAAATGAACCTGTTAATGTAAGGGCGTGAAGAGATGCACAATGAAATAATAAAAAGCCACTTTTAATAGAGACACCAATACGTATTGTGATGCAGATAAATCCAACTGATTAGTATCACAAACAAGCGAAACACGCTTCCTAGATTACATTTCTAACCCCTACTGAATAACCAATATGCAAAATTTCTACATCGTTGATATTAGTAGTGCTAGAAATAGTGTTTTTTCTTCGCGTTCAAAAAGCCGAAACAAGCAGATTTCAATCAAATAAGACATAACGATGATAGTGTTTTATAAACTGTATCATAATGTAAAACCACTCCAGAGTTAACATCAAAAACGAAGTAGATAATAATCCAGTTTTATGCAGTAGTCATACTCATGTGTTTAAGTATCATTTACTGTCACATGACACAGGTTAGATAGCCGAAGTACTACTAATTAAAAGGACTAATATATGCTACTTGACCTAGTGCTTTTGCTTCTGGAAAATAAAATTAAGGCACACCTAAAAACACCTTCTTTGAATGCCTACACCTCTAAATTTCTTGACTTTATAGTATAATTATCGACCTTTGTATTTAATCCTGATCTACAGTTACAAAATTAGATTCAGCTACCGCAAGAAGGCGGTAGCATTTATCGTCTATTGGCTTTTATTAACTAAGGGAGAAATATGCGAAATATAGAGAGTTCATTAATGGGAACACTTCTAGCGTCGGTAATCATTTAGCAGTTGAAATACTGATTTTTTCCACATGTGAAGCGAAAATGAACAGTGAATACTTTTTACATCATGTACCAATTCGCTAAAAGCACATTCTGTCGGAAATAATAACTCCTCTATGAATTTACGACAACATTTGAAAAATATAATCAGCACAAAGCCTGACACAAAGGTGTAACGATTCAAGTTGCTAAACCTATGCCGGACAGGTTATTAACCCTGTTCTCTATCGACTTACCTTCACAATCCAACAAGTGACTACTTTTTAGTTTCATTTAAGCCACCAAGTATAGCACCTGATTGCTATGTGAATAAGAAACACTCAATTTTTTGTGTTGCTTAATCGTTGGTCGTTGTTGCAATTATGAATAAATCGATTCCTGAATACATCTGTCCGCCAGTACATGCAAAGTCAAACGATGTAATTAATAACAATTAGACATCTTTTCAAGGTGGTATTCATTATGGACTCACATCATTTGAAAGACAAAAGAGTTGTCCAGTTCTCTCAGGATCTCAATGGTTCTCTAAATAATGTCAGACTGTGATGAATACTACCTTGAAATCAATAAATTCCTCCAATCCTCCAAACTGAATAACCACCCAGTGCTCGTTAGTGACTTGCTTCGAGATGAGATTTTCCGAAGTTCTTATGGGAAGTTGTGACCAGTAGGGCAAACGAACTCGAAAGTGAGGATAAATACTTAGCGATAGCATTATATGAAGGCTGCATCATATCGCTAATTGACAGAAGTGGGAAAATGTGGATCACTGGATTCCAATCCAGCGGCTTAATGGTAACACGAATGTCAAGGGTTCGATGCCCAGCGGCATCATGGGTGGGTACTATTGCGACGAAACATCTGCCAAGTGCTTCTATGTTCCTCTATCTGATGTCAGTCCATGCTGAATACTACCTTGAGATCAGTAAATCCCCCAAATTCTTCAAATTCGATATAAATTTTGTCAAATTATAGGCTGTTCAATAATCCAAAATTTCATTCATTTTGAAAGTGCCATATGTTGGTGTTATCTGAATTTACTCATACCATCTACAGGGTCCATAATACTGAACTAATTCCTAAATAAAAATACCAAGATTCAAAATTCCATAAGGCAAATTGCTATCATCTGAGATAAGTATAATGTGATGTTCAGGATTTATATTAGAAACATATAAGTCGACGCATACGAATAAAATAAATAGTGTAGGCTAAAGATCCAACGGTGGTCATGTGTAGGGTTCAACTAAACTTTGGTATCGGAAAACCTTGAGAGCAACCAATCAGGTTGGAGATGATTTATTCAAGCTATTCCTTATGTACATTTACCGTAATGTTAACGCAGCATAAATCTTCGATAAATTATGACAAACATTTCGTTGCAGGTTGCACGTGAAATTTGTTGGAGAAGGCAATGTGTTTGAAATAGATGATTATCTCGTTCGGAAGCTTCAATATAAACAAAGAAGACTTGAAAAGAACTGGGTAAGTTATAATATACCGTATATATATATATATATATATATATATATATATATATATATATATATATATATATATATATATATATATACTTTAATCTTTGTCCCTTGGGTTCCTAATGGGACATAGGGCTTCACTAGCACATATCCAGTGAACTCTGTTCTCTGAAATCTTTTCAACCTGGCTCCACGACTGCCCACAACCTCTCATTTCCTCCTCGCAAGATCTCCTCCATGTCACCCTCGACTCACACGCCCAACTCGTCGCTTCCCATGGGGATTCCATTCGAGGGCCTGGCCTGACACGTGATATCCCCAGTCGGTCTTCTCAGTGTATGCCCAGTCCAATCCATCTCCACTTCATTCCAGTGCATATTTGTTGGGTGATAAGTTCTTGGTTGGTTCGTTACCACAGCTCCTTGTTGTTCATTCTTTCTGGCAATCCATCTGATCTTCAGTAACGAGCCATTGTAGGCAGTTGTTGATGAATGTCTGTAGTTTATTGGAAATCCCTTTCGTAACGCACCAAGTCTCTGAACCATACAAAAGCACTGACTTGACATTAATGTTGAAAATCCGTATCTTGTTCCGCATGCTGAGTGCAAAAGATCTCCACACTGGTTTCAGGCTAATGAACGCCTGTCTTGCTTTTCCGACTCTGACTTTGACATCCTCGTCTGTCCCGCCGCCTGTAGTTGAAACAGTGCTTCCTAGATAGGTGAAGCAGTCTACTTCATCCAAGTTTCTCCCGTTGATAGTGATTGGAGTTTGTTGTTCTTGGGTATCTTCATCACCTCTGTCTTCTCTATATTCAACTGAAGTCCAGTCTTCGCTGCCGCTTCTGAAAACTTGTAAGTTTTCACCTGTAGATCTTCAAGTTTGTATGACATCAGGCACAAATCGTCATCGGCGAAATCCAAATCTTCTACGATCTTTTCCGCTGTCCAGCGTATCCCCCTCTTCTCACTCCTCACTGTTTGCTACATGATCCAGTCGACCACAATAAGGAATATCATGGGTGACAGTAGACAGCCTTGTCTTACTCCTTCCTGTCTTCACTTCAAAAGCATCATTGAGCTTCCCATTGTGAATTACTTGGCATGTGGCGTCTTCATATAGTTGCTGAATGAGTCTGATAAAGGTTTGTGGTATTCCGTAGTACTGAAGCAAGTTCCAAATTACCTCTCGGTCGATGCTGTCAAGAGCCTATTCGAAGTGGATGAAGTTGAGGTGGAGAGTTGACTACCATTCTTTACTCTGTTCTATGATGATGCGTAGCGTAGAGTTGCAATTTGATTCCCACATGATTTATTCTTCCTGAAGCCAGCCACCCTGTTCCGGTTGTAATTTTGAATCCAGTGCATCGTTTAGTCTCTCTAATATGATGCGCCTTAATATTTTGCTTGCTTTCGGGTGACTGCTGCATGATTCCTCGCTATTTCTTACAAATGCTTATGTCTCCCTCCTTCGGGAGTTTGACAAGGTAACCCTTCTTCTAATCAATCCACAGGTACTTTTCCTTCCTTCCACACCTTCTGCAATAGTGGTGTGAGCATGTACGCTGTTGTCTCCGCGTCTGTTTTCAGTGCTTCTAGCAGAATTTCATCTGCTCCTTCTGCTTTGCCGGATTTCAGCAACTTTATGGCGTTCAGGACTTCCGCTTTTGTCGGAGGGTTCGTGTTCACGTGTAGTTCTGTGGCTGTGCTGCTGGTTATATTCCTGGACGAGTTGCAGGTGGTGGTCAATTCAAGAGTTTTTTTGAAGTGGTCAGCCAACCGCTTCCTTTGTTTCTCCTTTTTGGTAACTAGCTTTCCTTCACCATCTTTCATTGGTTTCGTTTGCGTTGATCTCTTCCCTTCCAGATAGTAACCTGGCTATTTGATACAGTGTTGTCAGGTCTCTCCTACCAGCAGTCTGTTCTGCTTCACTTGCCAGTGTGTCGTAGGAGTGTCTTTTGTCTTTCCGCGCACTCTTCTTCACTTCTCTGTCCAGTCTTTTTTTTTATACGCTGCACTCAGTTCTTCTTTTCGTTGTTCATCCTTGCACTGGTTTATCTTATCTTCTGTTTCACCATCCTCCTCTCCTTTTTCCATCAGCTTCCATGTGTCCGTCGAGATCCATTCCTTGTCTTGTTTCCCCTTCCTCCCTAATATGGTTACGCAGGTTTCTTTCCACACCTCTTTCAAACACTTCCAGTGTCCTTCCACACAGGTTTATTCAGGGACGTTCCTCGATATCTCCCATCTTGTCTTGATGCCTGTTTTACGTGAAGATTTCCTTTGCAGTTTCGTCCTTCAGTCTTTTTTTTTTTCCGAGTGTTGTACTTGAACTGCCGTCTATCATCAGCTTCCTTGAAGGCTTTCAACCTGATTTCGAAGGTTTTTTTCTTGCACTAGATAGTGGTCTGAACCTACATCTGCTCCTCTTCTTGACCTTTTTTTGTGTCAAGTAGACTGCGTCTCCATTTTCTCGAGATTGAGATGAAGTCGATTTGATTTTTAGTGTTTTTTGTCCATCTGGTGAAATCTTTTTCATGTCGCTTTGTGAATTATCCTTGTGTTTGTATTCACTAAGTAGTTGAATGCGCAGAAATCTGCATTTCACCTAGCGCTTCTCGGCCCATGATGAGTTCTCTTTCTATGTTGTCCCCTCCCAGTTTGACATTCATGTCGCTTTTTCCAATAGGATTTAGATGTCGCCAGCTTGAGTTTCGTCTAGTACTGATCGCGGTTGTCTGTAGAATTCCTCCTTCTTCTCTTAACCTGCATTATTTGTAGGTGCGTAGCATTGAATGATTGTGACCTTCCTTCCTTTTGAGTTGAATCTTGCTGTCATGATCCTGATGCTGAAGGAGATTGGTTCCCACTGCATGAGAGCCTTCAATGCTCTTGGGGACATCATGATTGCCATTCCTTTTCTCCGTGTGCTCGTGGTTGTCGTCTGGGTGACAATATCGGAGTAGATTATTGTCTCTCCAGTTGACAGTTTGGAGAGTACACTTCCATTCCATCTGCAAATTACTCGCAGATTCCAAGCACTTCCATGTCATACCTCCTCATCTCGTTTGCAATCTGGGCTGCCTTGCTAGGTCCAAACATAGTGCGGACATTCCGTGTCCCCACGTTTACTTTCGCTTTCATCGAGGGGGAGAAGACACATCGGCCAATTGGCTTCGCGAAGGCTTTCACCAACCGGCGTCATTTCGCCTCTCCGATGCCAGCGAGGAATGAGTTTGTTTTTATTTTTATATTTTGTTTGTACTTTGAAGTTTGTTTAGCGATTGGATTAGTTTTATGGGGTAGAGTTGGTAGCCCTATGCCCAACCTTTCCTCTTTACCCGGGCCTAGGACCTGCTAATAACTAGTGAACTAGTTAACCAGGCGAGGTTATATATATATATATATATATATATATATATATATATATATATATATATATATCATGAGCAAGTGTCTAGAGATCAGAAGATTACTTATAACGAATAAAATCGAGTAGAACATGAAAAATGAAAAACATTTCATGCCTAAACCACAGGAGAAATCCATATTACCACTATTATTCGAAATATTAAGTGTTGTTGTTGCTAATGTGTACTAGAAAACTGAGTTACATCACTCCACTTATAGTAGAAAACGATGTATTATTGGTTAATTGCTTTCAATTCAAAATGTGAAATTACCTCACCCATAATATCACTGCTTTCATCATCATCCGTTGCATACTCACTTCCCATTGCCCACGAAGCTGGAGAATGTGATTCTCGCTTGATAGGTGGATAGATATCGTCATTAAATCCCGGAGAATCGGTGAAATCCGATTTCAAGTGTTTAGAATTCCGTGATACATTTTCGTGCTCCCCGAGAGCCTCAGAAAACAAACGATCTAACTCTTCAGCACTGATATCTGAGACTGGAATCGAAAAGAATCATATAGAGAAAAATAATGATCTGCTTTTTAATTTGTTTAAATGCAGTACATGAATTTTGGGGAAGCGGTATTTTCCCATACAATATGACACCAATGATATTTAACCTTTGCTTTAACTATGATTTCAGGAATTACACTAACTTTCCTTTGTTAGAAACTGATAAAATTACTAACTGTACCACTAAAAATGCTTGTGCCTATGACTAATGTTTACTGCTTCTGTAACTTGAGAGGAATCAGAGTCAAAAAGTACTATTCAGGCTACTTAGTGTCATCGTCTCGGCTTTTTTGACTAGCCTATTTCGTAGTTTATTGCTACTACATGAAGAGTTTCTATACTATTTTGCTTGTTGATACGTCTTCGCTTTATTGTCACAGTGTTTCTGCTTAAGCTGAGAATTCTAAATTGTACCACAAATTGTTTGGAATAAAGTGAATTATTATTATTATTATCGTCATTATTATCATTATTATTGTTATTATTATTATTGAGGTCCCGCTAGGTTTCATGTTACTGATTTGTTGGGTTAGTGTAACTGACGGTTACAGCAACAATACCTTCCAAGATTATATATTTATCACTTTTTAAAAATAAGTTGGTGCTGCGAAGCATTAACTAGGAAGTGGCAATGAATTCAAGCACGGACTCAATCTGTGGACAGAATAAAAATAGGCAGTATAGTGGGTATTTCGGTACCGTCGAGGGTGTTTTATCTAAGAGGTGATAAAAGCAATGAAGCCCAGAATAAAACGAACGCATTACATGTACGAATAGTTATATGATAGTCAACTTACCAAACTGTTTGATAAATACTGCCTCAGAGTTATCTAACTCTTCCGTTTCGAATTGATTAGGTTCTGATTCAACGATTTCATCCATTAAAATTCCACCGGGGAATACAGCAGAATTAGCAGCTGCAACAATGCAAATTACTCGCATATTCCAAGCACTTCCATGTCATACCTCCTCATCTCGTTTGCAATCTGGGCTGCCTTGCTAGGTCCAAACATAGTGCGGACATTCCGTGTCCCCACGTTTACTTTCGCTTTCATCGAGGGGGAGAAGACACATCGGCCAATTGGCTTCGCGAAGGCTTTCACCAACCGGCGTCATTTCGCCTCTCCGATTCCAGCGAGGAATGAGTTTGTTTTTATGTTTTATATTTTGTTTGTACTTTGAAGTTTGTTTAGCGATTGGATTAGTTTTACGGGGTAGAGTTGGTAGCCCTATGCCCAACCTTCCCTCTTTATATATATATATATATATATATATATATATATATATATATATATATATATATATATATATATATATATATATATATATATATATATATATATATATCTTCGCAGACGATGGACTCTTGTTATGTAAAACTGAAATACGACGAAAGGACACTTTCAGTGGATACAGAATAGAATAATCTACCCTAACAGTTTTGTGAAAACGCGTGATATCGGGCATCACACTATACACAGACGCTTGGAAGTCATATGTGTCATCTGAAATATGTTACACCAATCGTGATATTGTTCACAAAAAGCACTTGGTTGATCGGAGAACTGAAGTGCACTGAAACAACTTTGAAAAGATGTGGAGTCGTTTTAGAAAGTTCTTAAGATCTTTAACGGATAACAATACGGAATTTCCCAAACATTTCAATGATATTGTCTCATATAGATTGGCAGCGACGCCGACATACTCTCAGAGATGATAAATCTTTTTAAAATCTAGTTATCTTTATTTCTCATGTAAAACAGATTAATAAATTGTAAATGAAGTACCATTTCTTTTACTACCTTGCCCGTTTGCGAAAGCTCAGATTTCCAGAAACGATGTGCTTGATATTTTATTTCTTGGTTTCGGGTAGGATTTTCGGGGTTGATATTTGGCAACATTCAGATGGTGCACCATCAAAACTTAAGGTCGCAATTTGTCAGATTGAGTAAACTATTTTTCCCTAGAGAAATCGCTAAGATTTTGACCGATAGAAATGAGTCAGTACTGTTAACCAGACATATTATATTATATCCCACTATGACTGATAAGAGAACTCGGTTCAACAGTAACGTCAGTAAAGCTCACAGTTACTAACTGCGACACTTAGTGATATGAAGTTCAGCGTCTGAAAAGACGAATAGGTCTCGCTGATGCTTGCAATAAGCACAAAACTCAAATTCACAACCCTTTGTCGGTTGCTTGAAACACGTATATAAATGACTATCGAAATCAACCCAGCGGCCCTAACTAACCAATACCTTTAAAGGTTTTTCCAGCAATCTAAATACAATGCCAATCCAATTTCACACCATGATTTTCTGCTGCTTTGTTACGATTATTTTAGGACTTCGACAAACACCAACCTAACAAGGGGAATTCACAGTATAATAACCGCTTCATTGGCCGATTGTTAACGTATGTAAACAAGTGATAACTAATGACTACGACTAGTTTGTTATGTACTGAAACATAGGCTTACAAATCAGTTTATGTAGCAGATGAGCAAAATGATCCCATTGCAAAAAATATTCATTCAGCTTACAGTAACTAAAATTTCGATAATACCTGTTAGTAAAGTTGTTCAAAACTGATCTTTAAGAACGATAATCTACTCTTAACCATCTTCTAAACATTGGACATTGTTTTATTTTTATCCAGACGTCCTTCAGTGCATTTTCAGGAATACACTAACTTATTGCTGGAAGTGCTTATGCTTCAGCAAAAAATAGTAAGCTCTAAATACATTTTCTAAGATTTTAGATAAAAATAATCAGTTGTTTAGAGACCAGTGTCAACAGACAGACAAAATCAACACAGAACCTAGCACACAAGTGCGTCGGTCCAAGTTGTCATACTTCACAGTAGCATACAAAGAACAAGTGGATAGAATACGGCTGATATCAAAGTAGACAAAGTTGTGTGAGAGAATAAATCTTCAACCACTGATTCCTATCGTCTCATGAATCCCAAATCAAACAGTCTACACCCACCCATCCCCACGACTCAGACCAACAGTTAGGGACTTCATGATCTGGTCACTCTGAATTAAGTGTCCATTTCCCAGTTAATCACTATTCAGTCATAGAATCAACACAGTTCACTGTACATAACAACTATCCGTCACACAATTTCGTAATCATTGGCCTTCCCAATTATCAAATTGGTCAAACTAAACACTTATCATACAATAGTTAAATCTTCATTACAAATCAAAGAAGAGATTCCCAAGTGTAGAGTAGTGACAGATATAATGCCCTGAGAAGTAGTATCAATCGAAGAATGCACTGTTAACACTATGTTACTTTACCCCTTGAAAAATGAAAAAAACTAGTTCTGGATATTCGTGACATGGAGGAAATCGTGTGAGGAAGAAATGAAAGCTTCTGGGCAGTCATGGACCCAGGCTAAAAAGACTGCAGAGAACAGAGTGAAACGACTACGTGCTACTGGAGCTCTTTGTTCCACTAGGAACCCAAAGGACAAATAATGATAAGTTCTGGATATTCGGAGTTAGCTGACAGAAAGCTGTACATGTATGTTTCATAGCCATAAGTTATTGTCAGCTAGGTATATCTGCATTCTTAGGAAGATTCTTGGACATGTAATCCAATGCTACCTCCAGATGTACATGTTGGATTTCATTCCTGCCCATCCACCCCGCCTTATAAAGCTATGGTGAGTAAAATATCCCTTTGACTATTGAAGACCAGTTGTTAGATAGCCAGATCTCTTCTGAGAAGCTAGACAGTAATGTCTAACTTTGCTGTCAGATAGCACAGTCTCCTACCTCTGATGCTGCACGTATTAGTAACACCTGCCAGTCAAGCGGAGCTGCCGCTCATTTGTCTAGGCACTCCGCTTTCAACCAGTCGGTCACGATCTCCAGCCCCGCTCCACCTACCGATGTCCAGATTTCTTACGATGCATAACTGAATAATAATGAAAGCAACTAAAAGTTGCAAAAAGTAATGACACCTCAAGATTGACAGCAACAAAACTGGTAATAAGAATAGTAATTTTTGCTTTAAAGATAATCTAAATGCACATTAAATGTCACTATATGCAGTACAAAAAAGAAACAAAAGCAGGCCGCCGTTTTCAAACAGTATAAAAATAAACGGTCTTGATAAACACCATTAGTCGACACTGGATGTCATTTTCACCTCTTCGTCTTCTTATTCACCAAGTTAGTTCATATGAGAATAGCCTATTATTCATTGCAAAAAATAATGCGTTTGGTGAAGAAATCCTTTTCAATTATGATAATTTTCTTTTTTCATTCTTGTTTTCTGATAAATATAAACCCTTCATGCTCTGTTTCTTTATTTGGTGTAATCAGCGATGGACAGACCTGGATAAGAAAAGTATAAATATTCAAAGTACACACATTTTAATCCTGTCGGTACTTTAAAACGGTAACTAAAGAGTTAATGTATGGTACTATCAAACTGTACTACTTAACAGTTAGCGTTCAAAAGATGTTAAGTTAATAAGAAGTTTACGTTAAACATTTCATCCCAAGAATGAATTCAACAATCGTGAAATAAACCCAACCTCACCTTACTAATCTTATTTTCTATTTCTTCACCGTTGAAGAGATTAGGCTGATTTAGTTCCATCATCGGTGATACGACACGCTTTTCCAGTCTCCTGTTTTTCCGTCACTCAGTTCACATATCTGAATTGATTCAGTCTTAAACAGTATTCTGGTCGTTTTAAGTTTCTATCCAAGCTCCTATCATAATCAAATGTGAACACTATGTCAAGGGGAAAAAAACTATTGTTCACAAAAGATGTGTGGAAATGTAGCTCAGCGGTCTAGACAGTGGACTCAGATCAATGGGCCATAGGTTTAAATCCCAGTCCACTTACTTTACACTAGACGAGGCAATACAAAAAAAACCTCAAACAGTAATTGTGACTGATAGCCTAGCATAGACCTATACCATACCAGGTTTCCATGTTGTGAACAAGTCAAGCATTTTAGAATAATAAGAGGCGATCCCTTTGTGCCAACCGAATGGTACTTCAGGCGACTAATCCTAGGTTTTATGATACAATATCCTACCAGTAAAAAGCCGAATAAATGAAAAACAAAGATGCACTGTGGCTTGATGCTCTTTTCCATATTTAAACATATTGTGATTTGACACTTCTCCTGTAAAGTTTGAACTGACATTGTTTGAAGAAATTAGTGACAATATAACTGATAAAATTTATTATGTGGTGAACGATTCATAACGTTTTGCATTACAGAAGACAGTACTACAGCAGTCCAATGTTATATGAACCGAGTATCTGTATAAGAATAACCCAGCAATCATCGAGTAAAATAAGCAGATTTCGCGTTATTTCTGACACAATGTGATTTACTGACTACAAAAATCAACGTAAAACCTTGCACATAGGTGCATCCAGCTCAAGCTACCACATATCATAGTAATATACAAAGAACAAGTAAACAAAGTTGTGTGAGACAATAAACGATTTGAAGATGGTGGTTAGTATAAATACTTAAGCTTTAAATTTCAAGGGGTGAATACATCTGCCCCATTGTGACAGATTTCCAGCCGCGTCAATAAAAGTTATCAACCACTGATTCCTGTCGTCTTGGGGACTCCAACCAGGCAGTCTACATCTCCCTACATGACTCAGACCAACAGTCAGAGACTTCAAGCACTGATGCTCCGTCTTGCTCTGACCACCCTGAACCATCTCCCAGAATAAGCCGAATTCCTCCAGCATGGCATGTCGAGGTAGGCGGTCTTGCTCAGCATGAGCAGTACATATTCAAGCTATCTCAGTCGATGAAGGTTCACAACCTCATCAATCGACTTGCCTATCTTGACTAGTACCTTCGCTTAACCGCAACACTGCTCACATGGCGATTTCACAAACGCGAAGAATGCGGCAGAAACATCTGTGATCAAAACCCTCAAAACGCTTCATGTCTTCTGCTTTTAACGTACCTACTTTCAAATCCATCATTACACCTCTGACGAAGTTAAATAGGAACAGTGACACTAAGCATCCCTGGCAGACCCACTAGGTGTCACATGACAACTGCCCATAAGCTCCTACACAACTGTATGAGTTCGAGTAGAGTAATTTGATTAGCGTTATATACTCGCTCGGTACTCCCTTCACAGTCAGATACTGATACAACACCTCATGGTCGACTGAGTCAAATGTCGTCTTCAGGTCAACAAATATGGTGTGTCGACAGTTGGCCGGCAGGCATGCCTGTTTCCCAGAACATGTCGCAGGGTGAATATGTGATCAACGCACCTTCATCTAGGTCTGAAACCTGCCTGGTTTAGTCGACTTTGTTGTTCTCGAGCTCCAGTTAGGCGCTGGATAACTACAGACCCTAGGATCTTGTACAATACTAGTCAAACAAATTCCTCTGTAGTTGTCGCAGGAAGACTTTCCTCCCTTCTTATTGACTGGGATGGTCAGTGAAGTACACCAGTGTGACGGTACTACATCTGATTCCAATACACCACACAGTACCTCTCTCACTTTAATTGGCAATTTTCTATTTTCATCGTAGGAAACTGCAGGTGGCAAACTGCCATATCATGCAGCTTTGCATCGTTTGGGATTCGATAGAGCTTTCTCAACTTCAAGGAGAGTCCCAAGACTGCCATTTGTGTCCCATTCAGGTTCAGGCTGGATGTCAAGCTACTGAAGTGTCGCTGACGGCCAGCTGAATTCTACTTCAACGTGTTCTGTCCAGCATTCTAGCAGTTTGTCCAGAGAGGTTTTCAACGTTCCATCCTTTTCCGTGATGCTTCCACTCACCATCGTCTACTTCTTGATGATATCCTCAATAATCAAAAATAGTTGTCGGGTGTTACCCAACGTTGATGCCTTCTCTATCCCTCACTTCCCCTCATCCACCATTGCTCGCGATCGACGCGAAGACCTAGTCCATTTTCGTTGTAGTTGCTTTCCTCTTTATCGCGGTCAGAGCCAGTTAGAATCAGTCTTCTCGCACCAATCAGCTCGGATGACGTCGCGGAAACCCAATGACGTTTGCCAACCCTCATGTGTAGATTACCAATTATCTTTACTGATATTTCTACAGGAGACTGAATATCACGCCAGGTTTGCTCAGAATGAGCATGGCTGTTACCTTCAGATAAGTGCTTAGGTAACCTCTCTCTAAATGCGTACTTGTCGTCCTCATCTACCAACCAATCGACTATAAACATGTCTTACTGTCCCTGTAGATATGCATAAGCTCATACTAGTGCGTTATCAGAGTCCAAACTGGTAGGCCAGAAAGAGCGGCAATCCTCCAGAAATCCTCACGAACCATGGCTTACAGCAATGTGATCTATCCGTGTCCACTGTTGGCTTGATGTCGGCGGACGGTGTTTCTCCTTGTGCCTAAAGTTAGTGCTGGTTGGATACAAGTGGTCATTGGAGCGAAATTGCAACAGACGACCACCTTTGTCGGTTTGTTGGCATCGCATCTGTAAATAACTCCCACGTGCCTCTCCGATTGGCTAAGTTTCCCTATTTGAGCATCAAAGTCACCTGCCATTGTGACTACATTCGAACATTTTGCTTTCGACAGCAAAACTGACAGCTTCTCGTAGGATTTATCCTTTGCACCATCCGGACTACAGTCGGAGGGTGCGTAGGCGAAGATTACAAATCAGCATCGCTTAGCCTTCCGATCCTTACTAGTCCTTACAGATTCATTCAGCCGAACAGGACATAGACGAATGTTGACTGGTATCCAGTCGAGAAGCGCACTTTCCGCTCTACAACACAATGCTTTGCCTACGCCAGTGAGTCTACGAGAGCTAGCCACTGGTCTCTGGATACTCGCAAGGTGATTTTTGGAGATTCACTACTATGACCAGGTGAGGTCAACATAATAACAATACTCGGGTCCTGTATACGTGTCTCAGAGACACAGTATACATCCATGGCTAGAGATTCCAGAGTTCTGGAGAGCGATGTTTGCTGTACGGTTTGGCAATGACTTTGAAAGTAGAAGGCCCCTACATGGAATCGATGGGGTGGTCTTGGGAAACTCGGGATGAGGTTTCGATAGCTTTGATCGTTGACAATGGTTGCAGAGTCAGAGCATGCGTAGGGTGTAGGAGGTTTAATGTTGGTATCGAGAGATGAAGGTAAAGGAGACAAAGTTGATGAGGATAGCTTATGTTTGACTGGGTCTTGTGAACTACTGGAAGCGTATGGGAGGTTGACACTTCTCGGCTGCGCACACCATGGAAGGTTACTTCCTCTTGAGGTATCTGAAAGGGAAAGAGACTCGTGTGACCTCAGAGTCTATGAGACATCTGCTTGAGGCCTGACACATATAGCCTTTATGGGTTGTTGTTTTGAGGTTTCGTTGTTCTAACACCGGATAGATAAAAAAACCCACACTGCTGGCGGGAAGGGGCAGTGGAGCGAGATAGGGTGTACTATTTTTTGAGCTGGATTTTTCTGACCTCTCCCTTGAGTTGAGAAGGCAGCATCAGTGTGGCACTGCTGGTCATTGAAGGGAAACACCTTACTGTCTTCACATCCCATCCACCTAACAAAAGTATGACTTCGCCCTAAGACACTCAGCATAGTGTAGTAATTTACACTACAGAAGTAACTGCTTTTCGTCTTTATACTGGCTATCTAGCAGACGTTTACGGCATGGTAGGACCTTGAGAGAATAAGCGTTCCACTAGCATAGCCCATCGGATCATTGTGATATGCGAGCCCGACCAGCACGTCAAAGTAGTAGCTATTGGTGAGGATTGACCTGTATACCACTTATTTACAAGATGATTGTTAATGATACCAGATACAATAAAGAGGCTTAAATGAAGTGCTCATCTACACGACTGTATGTTAAATTCACAAAGTTGATGTTATCATCTTGTACCGAGTGAGGACATAAACCTTTACTCCCATTGATTCATACACAGCGACAAACAGTCAGTTAACATGAACATGGGCCTGGAACTACTGAGTAACGGTTCAAGCTGCCATACTTCAACAGTATATCAACACAGAATGCACTAAGCTAAAAAATGGAGAAATAAACAAGGAAGAAAGTTATAGAAAGCCATGACACCATAAGAAGTATGAAGGAGACAACAATGCAATTAACTGTGGCGATTAAGATAAAAATGATGAGCCGATAAATCTGAGCCATAGCACCAAGAGTGTCCAAGCACCGGATTCAGTTACCACGCGGAAGGTTGCATTTACCGACACATTCCAAACGTCTCCCACCTTCGGGAGTTTGACAAGGTAACCCTTCTTCTAATCAATCCACAGGTACTTTTCCTTCCTTCCACACCTTCTGTAATAGTGGTGTGAGCATGTACGCTGTTGTCTCCGCGTCTGTTTTCAGTGCTTCTAGCAGAATTTCATCTGCTCCTTCTGCTTTGCCGGATTTCAGCAACTTTATGGCGTTCAGGACTTCCGCTTTTGTCGGAGGGTTCGTGTTCACGTGTAGTTCTGTGGCTGTGCTGCTGGTTATATTCCTGGACGAGTTGCAGGTGGTGGTCAATTCAAGAGTTTTTTTGAAGTGGTCAGCCAACCGCTTCCTTCGTTTCTCCTTTTTGGTAACTAGCTTTCCTTCACCATCTTTCATTGGTTTCGTTTGCGTTGATCTCTTCCCTTCCAGATAGTAACCTGGCTATTTGATACAATGTTGTCAGGTCTCTCCTACCAGCAGTCTGTTCTGCTTCACTTGCCAGTGTGTTGTAGGAGTGTCTTTTGTCTTTCCGCGCACTCTTCTTCACTTCTCTGTCCAGTCTTTTTTTTTATACGCTGCACTCAGTTCTTCTTTTCGTTGTTCATCCTTGCACTGGTTTATCTTATCTTCTGTTTCACCATCCTCCTCTCCTTTTTCCATCAGCTTCCATGTGTCCGTCGAGATCCATTCCTTGTCTTGTTTCCCCTTCCTCCCTAATATGGTTATGCAGGTTTCTTTCCACACCTCTTTCAAACACTTCCAGTGTCCTTCCACACAGGTTTATTCAGGGATGTTCCTCGATATCTCCCATCTTGTCTTGATGCCTGTTTTACGTGAAGATTTCCTTTGCAGTTTCGTCCTTCAGTCTTTTTTTTTTTCCGAGTGTTGTACTTGAACTGCCGTCTATCATCAGCTTCCTTGAAGGCTTTCAACCTGATTTCGAAGGTTTTTTTCTTGCACTAGATAGTGGTCTGAACCTACATCTGCTCCTCTTCTTGACCTTTTTTTGTGTCAAGTAGACTGCGTCTCCATTTTCTCGAGATTGAGATGAAGTCGATTTGATTTTTAGTGTTTTTTGTCCATCTGGTGAAGTCTTTTTCATGTCGCTTTGTGCCTGAACACACTGCCTCCAATCACCAAATCGTTGAATGCACAGAGTTCTTCATTTCACCTAGCGCTTCTCGGCCCATGATGAGTTCTCTTTCTATGTTGTCCCCTCCCAGTTTGACATTCATGTCGCTTTTTCCAATAGGATTTAGATGTCGCCAGCTTGAGTTTCGTCTAGTACTGATCGCGGTTGTCTGTAGAATTCCTCCTTCTTCTCTTAACCTGCATTATTTGTAGGTGCGTAGCATTGAATGATTGTGACCTTCCTTCCTTTTGAGTTGAATCTTGCTGTCATGATCCTGATGCTGAAGGAGATTGGTTCCCACTGCATGAGAGCCTTCAATGCTCTTGGGGACATCATGATTGCCATTCCTTTTCTCCGTGTGCTCGTGGTTGTCGTCTGGGTGACAATATCGGAGTAGTTTATTGTCTCTCCAGTTGACAGTTTGGAGAGTACACTTCCATTCCATCTGCAAATTACTCGCAGATTCCAAGCACTTCCATGTCATACCTCCTCATCTCGTTTGCAATCTGGGCTGCCTTGCTAGGTCCAAACATAGTGCGGACATTCCGTGTCCCCACGTTTACTTTCGCTTTCATCGAGGGGGAGAAGACACATCGGCCAATTGGCTTCGCGAAGGCTTTCACCAACCGGCGTCATTTCGCCTCTCCGATGCCAGCGAGGAATGAGTTTGTTTTTATTTTTATATTTTGTTTGTACTTTGAAGTTTGTTTAGCGATTGGATTAGTTTTATGGGGTAGAGTTGGTAGCCCTATGCCCAACCTTTCCTCTTTACCCGGGCCTAGGACCTGCTAATAACTAGTGAACTAGTTAACCAGGCGAGGTTATATATATATATATATATATATATATATATATATATATATATATATATCATGAGCAAGTGTCTAGAGATCAGAAGATTACTTATAACGAATAAAATCGAGTAGAACATGAAAAATGAAAAACATTTCATGCCTAAACCACAGGAGAAATCCATATTACCACTATTATTCGAAATATTAAGTGTTGTTGTTGCTAATGTGTACTAGAAAACTGAGTTACATCACTCCACTTATAGTAGAAAACGATGTATTATTGGTTAATTGCTTTCAATTCAAAATGTGAAATTACCTCACCCATAATATCACTGCTTTCATCATCATCCGTTGCATACTCACTTCCCATTGCCCACGAAGCTGGAGAATGTGATTCTCGCTTGATAGGTGGATAGATATCGTCATTAAATCCCGGAGAATCGGTGAAATCCGATTTCAAGTGTTTAGAATTCCGTGATACATTTTCGTGCTCCCCGAGAGCCTCAGAAAACAAACGATCTAACTCTTCAGCACTGATATCTGAGACTGGAATCGAAAAGAATCATATAGAGAAAAATAATGATCTGCTTTTTAATTTGTTTAAATGCAGTACATGAATTTTGGGGAAGCGGTATTTTCCCATACAATATGACACCAATGATATTTAACCTTTGCTTTAACTATGATTTCAGGAATTACACTAACTTTCCTTTGTTAGAAACTGATAAAATTACTAACTGTACCACTAAAAATGCTTGTGCCTATGACTAATGTTTACTGCTTCTGTAACTTGAGAGGAATCAGAGTCAAAAAGTACTATTCAGGCTACTTAGTGTCATCGTCTCGGCTTTTTTGACTAGCCTATTTCGTGGTTTATTGCTACTACATGGAGAGTTTCTATACTATTTTGCTTGTTGATACGTCTTCGCTTTATTGTCACAGTGTTTCTGCTTAAGCTGAGAATTCTAAATTGTACCACAAATTGTTTGGAATAAAGTGAATTATTATTATTATTATCGTCATTATTATCATTATTATTGTTATTATTATTATTGAGGTCCCGCTAGGTTTCATGTTACTGATTTGTTGGGTTAGTGTAACTGACGGTTACAGCAACAATACCTTCCAAGATTATATATTTATCACTTTTTAAAAATAAGTTGGTGCTGCGAAGCATTAACTAGGAAGTGGCAATGAATTCAAGCACGGACTCAATCTGTGGACAGAATAAAAATAGGCAGTATAGTGGGTATTTCGGTACCGTCGAGGGTGTTTTATCTAAGAGGTGATAAAAGCAATGAAGCCCAGAATAAAACGAACGCATTACATGTACGAATAGTTATATGATAGTCAACTTACCAAACTGTTTGATAAATACTGCCTCAGAGTTATCTAACTCTTCCGTTTCGAGTTGATTAGGTTCTGATTCAACGATTTCATCCATTAAAATTCCACCGGGGAATACAGCAGAATTAGCAGCATTGCAGCTGCAACAATGGGTTCATAAAGCTCGCGTTCACCAGCTTCGCGTTCTTCGGGAGATTCCAAAGGATTTTTGTCGAATTCCGCCTCAATGCGCAGTAAAACAGGTCTAATCAAATTCCAAACTCGTGAAATAACATTATGATGTATCAGGGTTGGCAAGGTTAAGCAAATATTAAGAGCCACATAAGCCAGAGTCAAACCGGAGACATACACGCTCAGTAAGATGCATCCAATGCTGATAGTACTTGAGATAATGAAGAACTAAACATTTGAAAAATAAGAGTTGGACAATTACAATGAAACAAGCTATACAACAGGAATTAGCTTATAATATTATTTGTTGGCTAAAGTAGGACCAGGTTAAAAAAAGGAAAGCCAGACCAAGAAGTAATATTAGTCCAGGAATCCTCACTGATCACCTGATCTATTAATGGAGGTATAGACTGTCCGGGCTGAGGTCTGTGAAATGATAGGAATCAATGGTTGCAGTCACTTGAAGATACGGCTCAAAATTCATCAAAATGGTACAGACATACACACTTCATCTTCAAAGTTTTGAATAGCTTAACTTAATCCTAATCTATTTTTTCCGGCCCCATACACTTATCTACATCTGCAAAGCGAAAAACGTGTGGATACTCAGATGTTCACTCACGGAGTTCAGAGACTGTATTTCGTCAGCATATTTCGCGCAACAGGGTTATGTCATCTAAGTAGGTCAGATATTCTCCAGAGATCAAGTTAACCCCTGAGAAGTCGGAGATACATAGGTTTATTCATCAACACATTTATAATGAAGTTAAATGGGAATAGCGAGAGTGGATACTACTGAGAATCGCTACTTCAGACGATAACTATCCGTAAGTCTTTGCACGACTGCATTAGTTTAGGCAGAGAACACTGATCAGCATTATATACTTGCTTGGCACTCCCTTGATCCAGATACTGCCAAACATTTGGGTCATTTCTGCAGAAAACTGAATATTAAGACGGGATCTATCCCAGTGAGAATAGCTCCAACGTTTAGAAAAGTCCCTAGCTGTCGCTTCTTCAGATACAAACACAATGCTCACGTCTTTCAGATAATAACAGGCTGTACGATTCATGCATCCCCTAAAGTGCAAACACACAAGTACCTGTACTGGTACGTGATCAAAGCCTAGTAGGTATTGCAGAGTGATGATCTTCCACCGAACCTCTACAGCAATGGTTCATAGGCGGCTGTAAGCCTTTGAAACTACTTTTAAGCCGCTGAACACCTCGATAGGACACCCTTCTCTTACAGATAATTCCTGAGTACATTCCTGTTCACTGGAATGAAAGGTGAGCTTAGCACACACACACTAAAGCCTGATCACATTCCAAGCAGGCGTTTTTATAGGGAATGGCAGTCCTAAACACATCCATGCCATCGGTAGACAACTGAAGTACAATAAATTTCATGCCAAGTTTGAGCGGTAATGGCAGGACGCCAGGTAGCACAACGGCGGTGACTTAACTGGAAGTTGGTGCTGGCTGGAAACAGACCATGATTTACATTATCTCCCTTGCGACCGGCAAATCACCATTGATCACCTAAACATTCATCATTTAAGCCTGGACACTCGATCTGCACATTCACGTCTCCAACTAGCACAACAATTTCTATCGACAGTGCCTAGTAGTGGTCACTTGATTGAAGACAGAAGTCATTTTTAACCGTCACTGAACTGCAGTCATTCTGCGCAATGGCAGAAATTATGAAGAAGCATGCTCTTCAATAACAGTTACTTCTCACTCGCCTGATTAACTAGTTCACTAGTTATTAGCAGGTCCTAGGCCCGGGTAAAGAGGAAAGGTTGGGCATAGGGCTACCAACTCTACCCCATAAAACTAATCCAATCGCTAAACAAACTTCAAAGTACAAACAAAATATAAAAATAAAAACAAACTCATTCCTCGCTGGCATCGGAGAGGCGAAATGACGCCGGTTGGTGAAAGCCTTCGCGAAGCCAATTGGCCGATGTGTCTTCTCCCCCTCGATGAAAGCGAAAGTAAACGTGGGGACACGGAATGTCCGCACTATGTTTGGACCTAGCAAGGCAGCCCAGATTGCAAACGAGATGAGGAGGTATGACATGGAAGTGCTTGGAATCTGCGAGTAATTTGCAGATGGAATGGAAGTGTACTCTCCAAACTGTCAACTGGAGAGACAATAATCTACTCCGATATTGTCACCCAGACGACAACCACGAGCACACGGAGGTTTTGAATGGCAATCATGATGTCCCCAAGAGCATTGAAGGCTCTCATGCAGTGGGAACCAATCTCCTTCAGCATCAGGATCATGACAGCAAGATTCAACTCAAAAGGAAGGAAGGTCACAATCATTCAATGCTACGCACCTACAAATAATGCAGGTTAAGAGAAGAAGGAGGAATTCTACAGACAACCGCGATCAGTACTAGACGAAACTCAAGCTGGCGACATCTAAATCCTATTGGGCGTTTTTACATGAATGTCAAACTGGGAGGGGACAACATAGAAAGAGAACTCATCATGGGCCGAGAAGCGCTAGGTGAAATGAAGAACTCTGTGCATTCAACGATTTGGTGATTGGAGGCAGTGTGTTCAGGCACAAAGCGACATGTTTTTGACTTCACCAGATGGACACACTATTTTTAAAATCAAATCGACTTCATCTCAATCTCGAGAAAATGGAGACGCAGTCTACTTGACACAAGGTCATTTTTAGAAGAGGAGCAGATGTAGGTTCAGACCACTATCTAGTGCAAGAATTTTTCCTTCGAAATCAGGTTGAAAGCCTTCAAGGAAGCTGATGATAGACGGCAGTTCAAGTACAACACTCGGAGTTTTTTTTTTACTGAAGGACGAAACTGCAAAGGAAATCTTCACGTCAGGCATTTTTCAAGACAAGATGGGAGATATCGAGGAACATCCCTGAATAAACCTGTGTGGAAGGACACTGGAAGTGTTTGAAAGAGGTGTGGAAAGAAACCTGCATAACCATATTAGGGAGGAAGGGGAAACAAGACAAGGAATGGATCTCGACGGACACATGGAAGCTGATGGAGTTTTGAGAGGAGGATGGTGAAACAGAAGATAGATAAACTCAGTGCAAGGATGAACAACGAAAAGAAGAACTGAGTGCAGCGTATAAAAGACTTTTTTGGACAGAGAAGTGAAGAAGAGTGCGCGGAAAGACAAAAGACACTCCTACAACACACTGGCAAGTGAAGCAGAACAGACTGCTGGTAGGAGAGACCTGACAACATTGTATCAAATAGCCAGGTTACTATCTGGAAGGGAAGAGATCAACGCAAACGAAACCAATGAAAGATGGTGAAGGAAAGCTAGTTACCAAAAAGGAGAAACAAAGGAAGCGGTTGGCTGACCACTTCAAAAAAATCTTGAATTGACCACCACCTGCAACTCGTCCAGGAATATAACCAGCAGTCACAGCACAGAACTACACGTGAACACGAACCCCCGACAAAAGCGGAAGTCCTGAACGCCATAAAGTTGCTGAAATCCGGCAAAGCAGAAGGAGCAGATGAAATTCTGCTAGAAGCACTTGAAAACAGACGCGGAGACAACAGCGTACATGCTCACACCACTATTGCAGAAGGTGTGGAAGGAAGGAAAAGTACCTGTGGATTGGAAGAAGGGTTACCTTGTCAGACTCCCGAATGACGGAGACCTCAGTGTTTGCAAGAACTGGCGAAGAATCATGCAGCAGTTCACCCAAAGCAAAAAATATTAAGGCGCATCATCCTGGAGAGACTAAACGATGCACTGGATTCAAAATTACAACCGGAACAGGGTTTTTTTTTGGCTGGCTTCAGGAAGAATAAATCATGTGGGAATCAAATTGCAACTCTACGCTACGCATCATCATAGAACAGAGTAAAGAATGGTAGTCAACTTTTTCTCCACCTCAACTTCATCCACTTCGAATAGGCTCTTGACAGCATCGACCGAGAGGTAATTTGGAACTTGCTTCAGTACTACGGAATACCACAAACCTTTATCAGACTGATTCAGCAACTATATGAAGACGCCACATGCCAAGTAGTTCACAATGGGAAGCTCAATTATGCTTTTGAAGTGAAGACAGGAGTAATACAAGGCTGTCTACTATCATCCATGATATTCCTTATTGTGGTCGACTGGATCATGTAGCAAACAGTGAGGAGTGAGAAGAGGGGGATACGCTGGACAGCGGAAAAGATCGTAGAAGATTTGGAGTTCGCCGATGACGATTTGTGTCTAATATCGCACAAACTCGAAGATTTACAGGCGAAAACTAACAAGTTGACAGAAGAGGTAGGGTGGCAAAGACTGGACTTCAAGTGAATGTAGAGAAGACGCAGGTAATGAAGATACCCAACCAACACCACTACCAACAACAACAAGCTCCAACGGGAGAAACTTATAGGAAATAGCCTCTTTATCTACCTAGGCAAGGCAGCATCGTTTCAACTACAGGCGATGGCAGCATAGATGAGGATGTCAAAACCAGGGTCGGAAAAGCAAGACAGGCCTTCATTAACCTGAAATCAGTGTGGAGATCTACTACACTGAGCACTAAGAACAAGATCCGGATTTCCAACACTAATGTCAAGTCAGAGCTACTACTGGTTCAGAAACTTGGCGTGTCACGATAAGCATTTCCAACAAACCACAGACATTCATCAATAGCTGCCACCTACGCTCGATACTGAAGATTAAATGGCCAGAAAGAATAAGTAACAAGGAACTCACTCTGGCCTGGCAACGAACCAACCAAGAACCTATCGCCCAACGAATATGGAGAAGAAAGTGGAGATGGATCGGGCATTCACTGAGAAGGCCGATTCGGGACATCACACGCCAGGCCCTCGAGTGGAATTCAAAGGGAAAACGATGAGTTGGGCCTCCGAGGATGACCACATGGAGGAGATTATGTGAGGAAGAAATGAAAGCTTGTGGGCAGTTGTGGAGCCAGGTTGGAAATACTGCAGAGAACAGAGTGAAATGGCAACGTGCTACTGAAGCCCTATGTCCCACTAGGAACCCAAAGGACAGATAATAATAATAATAATAATAATAATAATAATAATAATAACAATCCCACTCTTATCGAACCTTCTACTCCAGTAGCAGACAGACGACTGCTGATGACGATGCATATGACTAGTACTGCTTCGGCTCTGGCACTTGATGCAACACTAACACTACCAAGGCTTTTCATGCTACAAGGTTGCTGAATGAGTGAGTTATTAGTGCACTTTTGCGGCCGACAGACGAAGTTGTTCGAAGCACTCGCCGAGAATTTATTATGCAGGCCTTTGAGATATAGGATATATGTATGCATAAAATTCCAACGGTTGGAGTGATCGCGGGCAATAGTTTTACTAAAAGTATTACCAAAATTAAAAACCACTTTATATATATATATATATATATATATATATATATATATATATATATATATATATATATATATATTTAAAGACTGCAATCCGTGAGTCCTCTCCGTTGAATACCTTGTTTTTGATGTCACAATGGGAATTATGAATGTACTTCAATTACAGTTTAGTTCCATTACTTGTATGTGGGCTGATACTGCCCGGACGCCCAGATTGAACTAAGTGGTTGTTTTAGGAGACAACTTCCCAAGAGTTCGATTCACAGGGCAGCCGAACAACTTAGGGTGCTGTACTCCCATACTTGCCAGAAATCAAATCACGTTCGCTGAACCAATGACCACTACTAGTTTTGATTCTGGCTTTACCAACTCCCATTGGTGAACCCCCAATGTTCATTAATCTAGGCAAAAGCACCGGAAACTTACTCTCGCCCTCTCGCTTTTGTGGGCTTACTGCCACCAAGTCAAGGAGATGAGTACACAACACCCGTGGTAGAGGCTGCCCCCGCCATACAAGGGGATTTGAGGACAGTTGTTCAAACAAGCCTTTTTCCTTGGCAGATTACTTAACGCAAGCCCAACCAATACATCAAGATCACATTTGTTGGTAGAGAAAGCCTGTGGAATCTCTGTAGCATGAAGGATACCGTGCACAAGGCGATTAAGAACTTAAAGGTTCAAAGAGTAAAGGTGATAAATTGTTGCCCTAGGAATCTCAATTCATCGCTTTGACTCAGACCAATACCCAAAGAATCCAATAAAAACTGTTTAACTGCACAACAACTCTCACTTCAAAACTTCCAACTGCTGGGTGTGTCGATATTTTTCATGTTGAAATTATGGTAAATAAAGGTTGAGCCTGGTGAGAATTTGACGAAAAAATAGGCATCCGTTCAGAATGTTCGGGTTTTTATTCTACTACGAACTCTTCCTTCGGCCTCATGTGAGTTGTTATTTTAAGTAGATGGTAGTCAGACTTACGTAAGACATGATCTAACACTCTCATTAGATGAATTACTATAAACGAACAACTATTACTAATGCTACTAAACCATGTGCATTGATAATTGAAGTGTGTGAAATGTCGAGCATGAACATTCAAGGGGTTCGCAAAAGTTTTGAATGACGAATAAATAAGAGATTTATATGTTTACAATCTTGTATATCCTAGTAGACAGGTCAATAGCTTCTTCTTAGTGGACTATTTGACACTGGTTAAGATGCTAACACACTGACTAGCAATCGCAAATATACGTAAGGATCACCGCATCAGTAAGAAGTGGAGGGCTAATCAGAGGGCAAGACTGTGTTGTTGAAAAAGGATGGTATTCATACTCAGTTTTTAGAATATCTCATACAATGAGCTTGAAGATATAGGAGAGTCAGGTTCTGGGTGAAAAAGCTTTCCTAAGGTTGCTTGAAGAAGCTGAGTTTTAATTCCAAATCTAGACTATGCTGAGACCGAAGCATCTGGAAAAGTTGTGATGCAGAAGTTAAAATTATGCAGGATGAGGCAAATATACGAGAAAGAATGTCTTTGATAAGATCAGTAAAACCTATCACCAAAGTAAACAGAAACTTAAGTACGTACTCACCGAAAGAGGATGATTCCGACGACAGGGTGCAAGTTTATTAACAATTGTACATGCACTATAAATACCTCTGGATATCCAACGGCTAAGTTCAACGGTGGACATAATATTTCCATTTTGCTGACAGAGAGATACAAGTTCTGAGAATGAACCGGATGAAGTTTTAGAAACTAAAACAAGAATTGAAAGCTTTGATTTTATTGCCTCGTAAACAAGATACATGCAACTATACATAGTTAATATCAAACTCCCAAATGAATTTGAAAACTATGGAGGTATAAAGATATGGTAAGATGAAAGAATTGAAAAAGTTACTGAATCATATTCATAATAAACATGAGATATCTCGGAGCAACCTCGCCTGGTTAACTAGTTTACTAGTTACTAGCCGGTCCTAAGCCCGGGTAAAGAGGGAAGGTTGGGCATAGGGCTAGCAACCCTACCCCGTAAAACAAATCTAACCGCTAAACAAACTTCAAAGCACAAACAAAATATAAAAAATGAAAACAAACTTATTCCCCGCTGGAATCGGAGAGGCGAAATGACGCCAGTTGGTGAAAGCCTTCGGGAAGCCAATTGGCCGATGTGTCTTCTCTCGATGAAAGCGAAAGTAAACGTGGGGACATGGAATGTCCGTACGATGTTTGAACCCAGTAAGGCAGCCCAGATTGCAAAGGAGATGAGAAGGTATCACATCGAAGTGCTTGGGATTTGCGAAAGCAGATGGAATGGGAGTGGACTCTCCAAACTGTCAACTGGAGAATCAATAATCTACTCCGGTCACCCAGACGACAACCACGAGCACACTGAGGGAGTGGCTATCATGATGTCCTCAAGAGCATCGAAGGCTCTCATGCAGTGGGAACCAATCTCCTCCAGGATCATGACAGCAAGATTCAACTCAAAAGGAAGAAAGGTCACAATCATACAATGTTATGCACCTACAAATAATGCAGAGCAAGAGAAAAAGGAGGAATTCTACAGACAACTTCAATGAACACTGGACAAGACGTCAGTTGGCGATATCAAAATTCTAATGGGCGACATGAATGCCAAACTGGGAGGGGACAACACGGGAAGAGAACTAACCATGGGTCGAGAGGCGCTAGGTGAAATGAATGAGAATGGAGAATTGTTTGCAGAATTCTGCGCATTCAACGATTTGGTGATTGGAGGCAGGCAGTGTGTTCAGGCACAAAGATATCCACAAAGCGACATGGACTTCACCAGATGGACACACTAAAAATCAAATCGACTTTATCTCAATCTCAAGAAAATGGAGACGCAGTCTACTTAACACAAGGTCAAGAAGAGGAGCAGATGTAGGTTCACACCACTCACTATCTAGTGCAAGGAACCTTCCAAATCAAGTTAAAAGCCTTCAAAGAAGCTGGTGATAGACCTCAATTCAAGTACAACACTCGGAAACTGAAGGATGAAACTACAAAGGAGATCTTCACTTCAACCATCAAGACAAAATGGGAGATATCGAGGGACATCCCTGAAGAAACCTGTGTGGAAGAACACTGGAAGTCTTTGAAAGCTATGTGGAAAGAAACCTGCACAACAGTATTAGGAAGGAAGAAGAAAGAAGACAAGGAATGGATCTCGACGGATACCTGGAAGCTGATAGAGGAGAGGAGGATGGTGAAGCAGAAGATAAACCAGTGCAAGGATGCTCAACGACAAGAGGAACTGAGCACAATGTATAAAACACTGGACAAAGAAGTGAAGAAGAGTGCACGCAAAGACAAAAGACACTTCTACAACACACTGGCAAGTGAAGCAGAACAGGCTGCAGGTAGGAGAGACGAGACCTGACGACATTGTATCAAATAACCAGGTTGCTATCAGGGAAGAGACCAACACAGATGAAACCAATAAAAGATGAAGAAGGAAATTTAATTACAAAAGAAGAGAAACAGAGGAAACGATGGGCCGACCACTTCAAGAAGCTCTTGAATCGACCACCACCTGCACTTCGTCCAGAAATACCACCTGCAGCCGCTGAATTACAAGTGAACATAAATCCCCCAACGAAAATGGAAGTCCTGAACGCCATAAAGCTACTGAAATGCGGGAAAGCAGCAGGACCAGATGGAATACCGCCAGAAGCACTGAGAACAGATGCAGAGACAACAGCGGACATGCTCACACCACTATTGCAGAAGGTGTGGAAGGAAGAGAAGGTACCGGACGATTGGAAGAAGGGTTACCTTGTCAAACTGCCGAAGAAGGGAGACCTCAGTGCTTGCAAGAACTGGCGCGGAATCACTCTCCTGTCCACCCCAAGTAAAATATTAAGCCGCATCATCCTGGAGAGGCTTAAAGACGCACTGGATTCAAAACTGCGACCGGAACAGGCAGGCTTCAGGAAGTACAAATCATGTGCTGACCAAATTGCAACGCTTCGTATCATCATAGAACAGAGCGTAGAATGGCAATCAGCTCTCTACCTCAACTTCATCGACTTTGAGAAGGCCTTTGACAGCGTCGACCGAGAAGTAATTTGGAAACTGCTTCAATACTACGGAGTACCGCAAACCTTTATCCGCCTCATTCAACAACTATATGAAGATGCCACATGCCAAGTAATCCACAATGGGAAGCTCAGTGATGCCTTTGAAGTGAAGACAGGAGTGAAACAAGGTTGCCTACTATCCCCCATGATATTCCTGATTGTGGTGGACTGGATCATGCAGCAAACAGTAGGCAGCGAGAAGAGGGGGATACGCTTGACGGCGGAAAAGAACCTAGAAGACTTGGATTTCGCCGATGACTTGTGCCTAATGTCACATAAACTTGAAGATCTGCAGGCAAAAACTAACAAGTTGATAGAAGAGGCAGCGAAGACGGGACTTCAGGTGAATATAGAGAAGACAGAAGTGATGAAGATACCGCACCACCACCATCAACAACAACAACAAACTCCAATCACCATCAACGGGAGAAACTTAAAGGAAGTAACCTCCTTCACTTATCTAGGAAGCACTGTTTCAACTACAGGCGGGACGGACGAGGACGTCAAAGTCAGAATCGGAAAAGCAAGACAGGCGTTCATTAGCCTGAAACCAGTGTGGAGATCTTCTGCACTCAGCATGCGGAACAAGATACGGATTTTCAACACCAACGTCAAGTCAGTGCTCTTGTATGGTTCAGAGACTTGGCGCGTCACGAAAGGCATTTCCAATAAACTACAGACATTCATCAACAACTGCTTACGCTCGCTACTGAAGATCAGATGGCCAGAAAGAATAAGCAACAAGGAACTCTGGGAACGAACCAACCAAGAACCTATCACGCAACAAATATGCAGGAAGAAGTGGAGATGGATTGGCCATGCACTGAGAAGGCCGACTGAGGACATCACGCGTCAGGCCAGTTGCTCGAGTGGAATCCCCATGGGAAGCGACGAGTTGGACGTCCAAGGGTGACATGGAGGAGGTCGTGCGAGGAGGAAATGAGAGCTTGTGGGCTGTCGTGGGACCAGGTTCAAAAGATCTCAGAGAACAGAGGTCACTGGAGGCGTGCTACTGAAGCCCTATGTTCCACTAGGAACCCAAGGGACTAATAATAATAATAATAATAATAATAATAATAATAATAATAATAATAAATCTCGGAGCAATGTTTATAACGGTTTAGCAAATATGTGACCAACAACAGTACAGATTTCAAGTAAACATCGAAATTATCCCTTATAAATACATAAATGTTAAACAGAAAGTAGTACCAGCTTCAGCGAGTTAGTGACCGGAGCAGTCACGGCAAGGATACAAGCGATAGCGGCATTTCCTAGCTCGATGTAATGCTACCAGAGTTCCTGCAAAGGACGAAATGTAACAGATAGCAGTGGGTCTTTTCATACTAAATATTTATGGAAACAACCATGAAAGATTCGGGAAGCCTTTACATGTTTGACTACCGTTCACCCAAGTGTTATCGCTTGTACCATATGAACAATGACGAGGAAACGTGCTCAGAACTAGGTGAATCGTCATCAATATCAACATAGGACCAGGTATTACTGCGTAACGATCCTAGTTGCTACACCTCAGTACATCAAGTAGAAAGGTAGTGAAGTGGAAGATGAAGATAAGAAAATTCAGTCAAAAGAAATATAAAGTACAACGAGAAAGAATGAGAAAATGGTGAGAATCGGTATAGCGTCGTCGTTAAGATGAGGATAATGTGTGTATACATCTGCGCCACTGACATCGCTTCTCAGCCATATCACCTACAACCAGTCTCCAACCACTCACTCGTTCCTCTTGTCCCGCGGACCCCAACCACCTAGTCTGCATCGCCCTACATGGCTCAAACCAATAGTCAAAGACTTCATGCATTGGTGCCATGTTTCAGTCTGGCCACCTCAGGCCTTTTTCCAGCCTCAACCTACTTCGGCCAACATTGTGTGACGAGGGAATCGGTGACTAGGCATGCGTAACACGTATCCCAACCATCTTAATCGATGAAGGTTCATAACCTCGTCAACTGATTTACCTCTACTCCCTAAAACTCTATACCTGACTTCTGCATTACTCATGTGGTGACACCACGGAATACGGCCTATACTACGAAGGCAACAGTGGTCAAACACTTGAAGCCTTCTCATGTCTTCCACCTTCAATGGCCATGCTTCGCAGCCATACAGTAGAACAGACCGGACTGCTGTGCAGTACACGCGACCCTTAATAGACAATCGGATATCACGGCGGCACCACAGGTGGGGTAAGTTGGCGAAAGCCAATAGAGCCTTTGTATCCGTGCAGAGATTTCATCGGCAACTGACCTAACGGGGCTGATCCTACTTCCCAAGTAAGTAAAGTGATCGACGCACTCAACCACTTCACTCTTTATTGTTAGACGTGGCACCGCTGAAGACCAATCCTGGAGCAAACATTTGCATTTGGATGGTGAGAAACGCATCCCAAACATTTTCAAATTCCAACCCAAAGTGTTCAGAAGACTCTGCATCTAGTCAGCGTCTTCACTTAACAGGACAATGTCATCTGCATATTCTAGGTCTAACGAAAATTCTCCTGTGATTAGGTCAACGTCTGTGTAACCTGGTGACGAGAGGGAGACCTCTATAAGAATATCTATGATGAAATTGGATAAGAATGGGGAGAGTGGGTATCCTTGACGAACACCACTCGATGAGCATAGCTCCCCGGATATCTCACCATAGGCTCTAACACGCCCACAAGTGTTCGAGTAGAGAGCCTTCAATAAGGTGGTGCACTTACTCGGCACGCTTTTGACTGAGAGACATTGCAATAAGAGGGAGTGTGGCATATCTCAATGTTCCATTCAGGATCCGACTGGATAGCGGGGAGACGCAACGGTGACTGGAGACCACTTAAACTGTTCCTCGAAGTGTTCCACCCATCGTTCCAGTCGTCTCCCCTGCAAGTGAATCGCAGATCCGTCCTTCTCCGCTATAGTCTCACTAACTGTTGTTGAACTTTTCCCCCCAGTTTCCCTAATAAGTCTAAATAACTGTCTACTATTACCGATCGCCACTGCCTTTTCCTTCTCTTTAGCCTTCGCTGCCCACCACTGTTCACGATCGTTCCGTAGACTTTTTCTCAATCAAATTTTAAGTTGCGCTCGCTTTTCATTGTGCTCAGAGCCTGCAGGAGTGCGTTCACGTGCATCCATTAGTTCGGAAGAAGCTGCTGATATCCACTGGCTCGTTTTGACCACTATTTTGGAGTCAGCTACGGTCTTCAACGCTGCTTTAACAGCAGACTGGAGATGGCACCAAGCTTCTTCTGGATGAGTGACAGTCTTTTGTTCCGATAACTGCCTAGGCGACTTCTCACTGGACATGGCTTCGGTGTTTTCGTCCATTGAAACACAGGCATATACGCGCTCGGACCAACGCGTGGTCGCTATCCAAGCATGTACTTCAGAAGGAGCGGCAGTCTTCCACCGATCCTCTCCAGAGATGACTAATAGCAAAGTGGTCTATCTGTGTCCATCACTGAGTTGAGCTCGGTGGACGCCACACCAGACAGTGTTTTTCTTTATGTCTGAAATTGGTGCTGACTAGAAATAGGCGGTTATCTGAGCATAGTCGTAGTAGGCGATCACCGTTATCTGTAAGTTCACCTGGGATTCCGAAAGTGCCATCTAAGTGCCTTTCTGCCTCACTCAGTCTACCCACCTGTGCATTGAAGTCACCTGCAACAACCAACACGTACGAACGTTTGACTTTCGAGAGGAGGCTAGACAGTTTACGGTAGAACTCGTCCTTCACTTCATCCGAGCTGCAGTCAGTGGGTGAGTAAGCAGAGATTACAAAGAGACAACGGCGAGTTTCCCTATTCCTTTTGGTGCTCACTGTGCCATTCAGTCGGATAGCACAGAGGCGACTATCAACTGGAATCCAGTCAAGTAGTGAGTTTTCTGTCATAGTGCTTGATGCTATGCCTGAGCCCGCAAGACCGCGAGAGCTAGCCATCAAAGCTCCAGAAACTCGGAGGGTGAATTTTGCGGATTCATCAGATTGGTCAGGAGAGATCAGGTGAACAACCGTACTTGGGTCCTGTATGCATGTCTCACAAACACAGCACACATCCATAGCCCAAGTTGCTAGAGTCTTTGTCAACGAAGCCTGCTGGCTAATTCGACAGAGGGTGCGGACATTAAAGGCTCCAATATGTAATTTGGAGCGTGGTTTAAGGAGACCAAGGATGCTGTGTGTAGACTCAGATCATTGTCGAAGGGTGCAGAACTAGGAGGAATTGAAGATGATGTAGTGTCGTTAGTTGAGAGACGTGAAGGAAGATTAGAAGGTAATGATGGGGAAGGTGGATAGCAGTCTGAGGAAACTTTAGTCCTGATCGAGTTGTGAGGGCGGTTGACACTTCCCGGCTGCCCACACCATGGAAGGCTATTCCTTCCTAAAGTACCTGAAAGAGATTTGTGTGACCACAGAGCCCATAGGGCATCTGCTTGAGGCCTGTCACACCCAGCCTTTTGAGGATGATCATTTTGAACAAATGAACCAACACCGTCGGCCCGGTAGACCGTGGGGCATGGTGGAGTGTGCTATTTTTGGGGCCGACCTTTTTTGAACCCCCCCTTCCGTTGAGAATGCAGCATCAGCATAGCACTGCTGGTCATCCAAGGGAAACACCTTACTGCTGTCACACCTCATCCAGCTAGCAGCAGTACGACTTCACCCTCAGACCCCCATCATAGTGTAGCAATTTACACCACAACGGTAACTGCTTTTCGTCTTACCACTATCCAACAGACCTTTCTGGTATGGTAGGACCTCGAGGGAACAAGCGTTCCATCAGCATAGCTCGTTGGGTCATTGTGATATGCAAGCCCGACCACCACGTCAAGGTAGCAGCTATCGGTAGGCGAACTAGGTGAAGGGGATAAGTCAACTGATGACTGGCTGATCGGTCGATACAATCCACCACTTCACTCCCTATCATTAAACTGAGAGTACTTGCAGCAGACCAGTCCTGCAGCATCGTCTTAGAAGTAACAGGTGGCAGCGAAACGCATGCTAAACATACTCAGATTTCTGCTCAACGCGTTCACAAGATCCTGCCTGCATTTTGTCAATTTCTTCACCCAGCAGGACAATATGGCCTACATACTCCACGTCAACCATATGACCTCCGAGGAATAGGTCAATAGCTGTGAAGTCGGACATACCTAAGGTTATATCCATTAGTACACCTCTGACGAAGTTAAATAGGAACAGTGACACTAAGCATCCCTGGCAGACCCACTAGGTGTCACATGACAACTGCCCATAAGCTCCTACACAACTGTATGAGTTCGAGTAGAGTAATTTGATTAGCGTTATATACTCGCTCGGTACTCCCTTCACAGTCAGATACTGATACAACACCTCATGGTCGACTGAGTCAAATGTCGTCTTCAGGTCAACAAATATGGTGTGTCGACAGTTGGCCGGCAGGCATGCCTGTTTCCCAGAACATGTCGCAGGGTGAATATGTGATCAACGCACCTTCATCTAGGTCTGAAACCTGCCTGGTTTAGTCGACTTTGTTGTTCTCGAGCTCCAGTTAGGCGCTGGATAACTACAGACCCTAGGATCTTGTACAATACTAGTCAAACAAATTCCTCTGTGGTTGTCACAGAAAGATAAACCACTGACTTGCAGCTTGAAAAGTCCCAACATAGATGAAATGTCTCCATGTGGAGAAACAAAGCGAGATAATCATGGCATTTGATAATATTCACTGGGTACCGAAACTCCAGTAAGCGGAAATGCACGGAAAACCTAGATGAGAAAACATGCAGCCAAAAGCACTAGGCTAGAAAACTGAACACCACTTGGCGTCATAACTACTATTTATGTAAAAGGAATGCATCTTACAGATACGAAAAGCGTTTGGTTAACAACTGCCTAATCACCTAATTTCACGAAAGACGGGAACTAGTGATCTAGAAACGAACGCATTCATATTGAGCAAATGAAAACTTGCCACTATAACCATAGAAAAATAGGAGGCTTATCTTCTCACCAGTTTACAGATTTTGAATGATCATTCATTTAGCGCATAGAACAATCAACCAAACAACGCATGCTAGTTGTTACTAGTGTTATTCTTACGGCCACTAGTATCCGCACGAACAACAAATAAGAGTGCAACTGAATTTGTTATAGGAATACTAAACACACAATAAGAATACGTACCATTTAAAGTCTTCGCCACCAGTGGGTTTAACAGATTGCAAAACAGAATAAGAAACAATACCAGGCAGAAAATGAACAATGTGCTAAGGCTGCTCTTCACAAATGACCTAAGAATAACAACAACAGGTATACACAACTCACAGAAAGACAATGTGTACTAATGAGGTAAAGATCAAACTGGGCAAGACACGCTTCCATAAAAGCAACGTCTGAATGCACAGGATGATAAACTCCCATTGTTTTAAAACACTATATACATCTGTGAAAAACTTCTCATGCGATTCATCCATCACCAATGCATATACGGCGCGCTTCATGACCAAGAGATATCTCAATCTTCACAGTTGCAAAACAAAACTTGGACATGATAAAAGGACAGCTGGCAATATAACATAACAGAGCAGGAATAATCAGTTTTGGGAGCTTTTTCTAGATGGTATAACTACATGCTATGATATTCGTTAAGTTTGAGTGTTCTGAGGTTTATTGCTGGAACTTTGGACAAAATGTTCCAATAATGCTGGTTTCTGGCACAGCGAGTACTGAGTGGTTCATAGTTATTTTCCTTCTTCGTTAAATTAGCACTTGGAATCGAAACTTTTACGGTGGTTCTCTTACCTTTGACAACACATCGCCCTAACTTTAAATCTTGTTGGGAGAGTGGTGGACTGGAAGTTCCTTGGGTCTACCACGTTAGAAATTTGTCTTGAGTGTAAAGTTCCTACATCGGTTTCCTTTGACGCGTTTCAAACGAAACAATATAGACTACTAATAATGACTAACGGGCTTCCGCGTTCATGTAAAATACTTCACATCGATTCCATAGATCTGAAGCAGAAAGTTCAGTTTCTATTTAAAAGTGTCCGACGACTGGGTCATCGCTACTTGTTTAGTGGTGAAATCCCAAACGTTGGAGTACTTATAGAGAAAAAGTCTGAATGAGTCCCCGTGTAAACCCCTTTGCTGTGCTTCTAAACGATGAAGATTTCCATGTGGCGTCTACCAATACTCTGAAAGGTGAGCCGGACTGCAAGCCGAATGATACATCATGTTTACATTTCCTTGAATCCCCTGGCGCAATCTGTATTTGTTAGATACTTCTTCGGAAAACGTGTTTTTTGTCTCAGTTTTATTGCCTTCTTCTGTATGCGCTCCTTGAACTTGTTCCAGAAGACCAATACCTTTTCTGAGGTACATAGAAATAACTATTGGTTTCGTCTTTCGACGAGACTGAACCAATAGGCTGTTCACAGTTTTCAGCAGCTCTTTCTTCAACCCTCCAAACACCTTCGACAAGAATCTAAGTACGTTACTGTCTTTTGAGCGGGCAATCGACGGTGTCCAAGAACTCAAAGAATTTGTGTGAGTGATGTCATCGTGCACTCTTTGTATCAGAAGCTCACCCATCTACGCTAGTCAGGTCCTCTTGGAGGAAACCGGCACCCATAGGCTACTCGGCTTTTTCGTAACACTTGCAAATAGAAAAACACTATGTGTGGGGAGGCCCTAGGTGGATCTACCAAATAATACCACGTGCAGAGACTGATCAGCGGTCCATTCTGTCCTGTTGCGCAGGGGAGAGAAATGGCCGTTAAAAGTAGAAGACATGAAGCAGTCATGGAGTTCTGACCATACGTATTCTCATTGCATTGCTCACGTGTGGTGGAATCACCGTGTGAACAATTTTGAAATTAGTCGAGGGGTATTGAGCAAGAGAGACAGTTCGGTTGACGATATTCTGAACGTTGGTCGACCAAGATGGCTTGGATATGTACTGCCCATCCCGAACCTCCGTCTACCTTAACAAGCGATGCCAGCTAGGGAGGTTGAACTGGTTAGAGAAGAGTTCAGGATACCTAGACCAAGACCTGGAGCCAATTCTTCAAGTCCCTGGTTTTTGGTCTGGGCCGTGAGGGAAGATGAAGACTGGATGGTTGCGATTCCCAGGATGAACGGAATCAGTGGTCGAAAACTGTCAGTGACATGGCTGAAAATCGGTAGCAACGGTCCGGATGCATTCGCTTCTTGACACCTTCAAAAGCCTGAATACCAACCTTCATCTTCGAACCGTTTGTTTTCCCACACAACTTTGTCTACTTTGATATCAGTCTCTTGCATCCGGTTGTTCTTTGTATATTACTGCGACGTGTGGAAACTTGAGCCGACGCACTGCTGCGCAAAGTTCTTCACTGGTTTTTTCTGTCTGTTCTTCTGATGTAGGAAGAATGGTTTGCCTGATACAAAGGACCTCCATAAGGTCACTTTATTCCACTGAAACAAAAAGTATCAAGATCTAAAACAATTTAACTTGCCTTGACGATAATCCCCTGATCAATACGGTTGGGCCCGTTTTTAGATTATCACATTACAGCTTCTGAAGCACGAAGTTCTTGCTGTCTGTGACAGCCTTTGGGAAAATTTAACAGTATTGCGACCACGCGACTCTTTTGGGCTTATCATTCTCAGTATGTTGTAAACAGTAGATGAGGTGGGGGAAACGGACTAATAGATCGAGGCATAACTTTTACCACTCTCTTATTTACCGTCATGAAAACAGGTTTCTGCTGAAGAAGGGCTTCGGAAACTCGTACCTGTGGTTCAGATCCACTGAACCCATGAGTTTGTGGGGGCCGAAAAACTGTCACCCACAGTGTAGTGAAATCCAAAGGCAGCCAGTTTTGAACAGTGAGTGCAGAAGGTATCGCCAGACACGTTTTGGTCGGTGGCTCCAGAATTTTGGAGCATCCCCAAAACTTCAGAACGTCAGCCCCGCGGAGGTTTCACCGCTGGATGCCTGGTGTGGGAAACCGCGTGGTGCTTTACACCATGTTGGATAACGAAACTTACTGTCCATTTGCGGTTTGGCAATGGCAGGTCCGAGTGAACGCAAAACGTTACCAATCCTAATGACTTAGAGAAGAAATTCTGACAAAACCAAATTCAGAGGCTGAAAGGTGAGAAGAAAGGCTCCGCAGGTCTGAGAATAGTTCTGTGAAGGAGTTCAGCTGAAGCGTCTCTATAGTGGACACTCCACACCTGCAGGAAATACAGTACAACTAAGTACAGTGCTTTAAGGAGGTGAGCGGTTATCTCGCACAAAAACGGTGGCGCTGGAATCATCCCGTAGTAATGATCTTGGCCACCTCCTGAAACGTCCGTACAAGTGTAAGTACCGGCGAATCCAGCAGATTCGGAAGAGGGTCCTGTGACACCCGTATGGATACTGTAGAAAGCGGCATATTGAGCCGGAAAAGAATTCTTCTTTTTGGGGGGTTCGTGGGGATTTACTTGTTTCGCGTTGGTATTCATTGTGGAATTCTATCAGGCGGAGGGACTTTGCAAACCTGGGGGCACCGGACAGCTGTTTCATACTAGTATGGGACTCTCAGAAATTCACGCCAACTTGAAATCCACAAACCCTCAAGACCCCCGAGTTGAATTAATCTAGTGTTCATTTATGACTAGCTTCGAGGGTGATCCTTGAAGTTCCAAAGAGAAGTCGTGACGGGCAAGGCGGGCTCGGTGGATGTGAGGATGGACACTCAGCTATAATGCTGAGTGATGGTCGCTCTATATTGTGAAGTGAGAGAAGTTGGAAACATGGGCCACTGGATTTCGGCCCAGTGGCTTAATGGCGACGTGCTAGCCAGGGAACCTGAAGGTCCTGGATTCGATCCATGGCGAGATCATGGATGCACGCCACTGAGGGACCTCATACAGGGATGATGCGTTTGTCAAATGATCTCAGGCTTTCAACATCCCCCCCAGCTGATGTCGGCCCATGATGAATACCAACTAGAAAAAACTTCGAAGGAATTTCCGTGTCCTAGAAAATTTCACAGAACTGAGAGCATTCTCTTCCACTTTTCACATATCCTAGGCACACGAGAGCGCCATATGCTGACATTAATGGTGAAGCAAACACCCGACGGGAAAACTTTTGTGGCGTATCGTAAACACTATCGAATTTTCGGAAGCACTATGGGGCATGAGTGGGACAGGGTTGCGACAGGAGCCCAGCAATCATAACTGCTTTCGGGAGTTGTAAACGGCAACTATGGGTTGTGAAAATTATTTTCTTTCCAAATATGAGCATGTTCATCATCTTTGATACGGTTTGTTGAAGAGTTGTAGGATAGTCCATCAACTAAAGAATCATGCAAATCAGCTGTAAGATTAATACTTCAGAACTAGATGATGTGGTCTTATTGCTGCAACTCACATTTATGGTGCTAGTGTGATACAGAGCACAGAGGAAGCATAGGTAGCTGGTAGCCTGTTTTTTTTATTATTAGTCCCTTGGGTTCCTAGTGGAACATAGGGCTTCAGTAGCACGCCTCCAGTGACCTCTGTTCTCTGAGATCTTTTGAATTTGGTCCCACGACAGCCCACAAGCTCTCATTTCCTCCTCTCACGACCTCCTCCACGTCACCCTTGGACGTCCAACTCGTCGCTTCCCATGGGGATTCCACTCGAGCAACTGGCCTGACGCGTGATGTCCTCAGTCGGCCTTCTCAGTGCATGGCCAATCCATCTCCACTTCTTCCTGCATATTTGTTGCGTGATAGGTTCTTGGTTGCTTCGTTCCCAGAGTTCCTTGTTGCTTATTCTTTCTGGCCATCTGATCTTCAGTAGCGAGCCAGCGTAAGCAGTTGTTGATGAATTTCTGTAGTTTATTGGGAATGCCTTTCGTGACGCGCCAAGTCTCTGAACCATACAAGAGCACTGACTTGACGTTGGTGTTGAAAATCCGTATCTTGTTCCGCATGCTGAGTGCAGAAGATCTCCACACTGGTTTCAGGCTAATGAACGCCTGTCTTGCTTTTCCGATTCTGACTTTGACATCCTCGTCCGTCCCGCCTGTAGTTGAAACAGTGCTGCCTAGATAAGTGAAGGAGGTTACTTCCTTTAAGTTTCTCCCGTTGATGGTGACTGGAGTTTGTTGTTGTTGTTGATGGTAGTGGTGCGGTATCTTCATCACTTCTGTCTTCTCTATATTCACCTGAAGTCCCGTCTTCGCTGCCTGTAGATCTTCAAGTTTATGTGACATTAGGCACAAGTCATCGGCGAAATCCAATCTTCAAGGTTCTTTTCCGCCGTCAAGCGTATCCCCCTCTTCTCGCTGCCTACTGTTTGCTGCATGATCCAGTCCACCACAATCAGGAATATCATGGGGGATAGTAGGCAACCTTGTTTCACTCCTGTCTTCACTTCAAAGGCATCACTGAGCTTCCCATTGTGAATTACTTGGCATGTGGCGTCTTCATATAGTTGTTGAATGAGGCGGATA